AATCGATATTTGTAGAAAAAGGTCTTCATCCCGCTCGTCGTGACTTTTCGCCGGCTTTCGACGTCACCTGAAGACAATTCTACCTTATCTGTCCTTCAACAAACGTACGTAATGGAAATTGAAAACGCGTTATGTTATACTTCAGAATAGATTCGCAAAAATAAGAAAAAACAATTAAACTCAGACTGTTTCTAAGTCTGTCTACCACTGGTTGGAATCATCGAGCACTTCGCCAGAAAGGATAGTAGTAGCCACTCGAACACCTGGTGTGAAAGCTACTCTAAAAGTCTACAACCCTTAGAAGGATGCTCGTTAATTAGTGATCGCGTTTCTCTTTCTAGGTATTTGTTACTCGAAACTTCTCGCCTCGCACCCTTGCTTTCAATTTTTAATCGAGTTATATTCTTCTGCATTATTCATACAGGCTGTATATCGATCCATCCGGTACTGGTTTCCATTATTCATACATTGGTACTTACGACCACGATCCATGGTCTAGTAAACACGTTCGAATGTATTCTTTTTAATTAATATATTTGTTTTGCAAAAAAGGAATGGCGACAACGTGTTTCGACGAATTAACAAGGTAACCTGAATCAACAATTTGTCGATAACTTAGTCGACAACCACCCACGCATCCTGCATAAATCGAGATCGAATGCATTAATGTGCAACACCGAAATACCTACACGCAGCGAGAAATTTGTTTTATATGAGAGCAAACCGCGGATCATCCTTGTTCAGTTAAAATTCATACCTTGTAATTTATGTGAGTGGAATCGTGGAACAGCATATTTTCTGTACGTAATCCGTATAAAGAATTAACGAGCATCGCTCATGATGAAATGAATAAAAAATACGACTAATTGCAGGGATGGAATTTAAGAAATATCAACTAAAAGGGAATGGAGTAAGCCTATTGAGTTTGTGAACAACCACTCAATGAACCATTCGACGTACGATCTCTTCAACTGAGTCATTCGGCGCCGAGTTTGGCGTAGTTCAATCCCAGGGATTACCAATCGAAACAGCTGCAAGAGCGTGTTCACCTGCCACGTAAGCCGCACAGGAACCAGGTAGCACTTTGTGTTTCGAGACGCCTTAAAAGTTTTCCCATTTCCGAGGTAGGTAACGCTATCGCCTTCCCGGTTTCGACAGTCAAACCAGAAATCTAGCGTCAAAGTGTACTTACTGCATCGCCCGTGGTCCTGAGACACGTCGTTTCGTCAATCGAGTTACGTCGCTTTCTCAATCTCCAACTGACCTTCCCTTTCTCTATTCCGAATAATTTTCATGCACCGTGAGTCGACAGGTAGAAAAAAAATCGAAGGAGCACACACGTATTTCTATAAAATTCTTTCGAGATTTCCCAAACGCCTCGTCGAAGGCGCAACGCTTGATCTCCCCTCGTTCCGACCTTTTCCTTTATTTTCGCACACGGTCGCGCGAGAATGGTTTTCGGTCTATTATTCATGGCCGCTGCAAAGTGGCAAGTCGCGCCGATGTCGATAGCTACGATGGAAATCGGAACATCGCCGTGAAAGGGAAATCTTCCACCACCGGAAGCTACCGCACTCTGTGCAACGTTGCGATTCGCAAGGGACCACAGATTTTTTCGACAAATCCATCAAAATATGAATTGAAGAAAGTGTACTAAAAAATTGTTCATTGCGAACAAGAAAATTTATCTCACGTAATTATATGTCACAGAAAAATGCAAACAGCAGCGTTTTGAAAACGTAAGACTTTATACATCATATATTTCTAAAAAAATGTTTTAGGACTTGTTTTAAGATTTTATGAATGCACGTAACACTTTCATTCGTGGAATCAAAGGAGATACGAGAATCCCAGGGACATTTACGAGACACCAAATCATTGTCAAAAAGTGAAGTTTCTCTGTGTTTTCAAGAGAGCAGCAGTCCTGCCTTATACATGGACCGGTTGAATAAATTCATGAGGTGCCAGGCTTGAAACCGTGTGTACGAGTACTCATCGATTTGAAATTCGGATGTGTATGTAACATCGTCGAATGACCCGAAATAAAAAAGGGCATTTGAGAAATTCTCTTTACGAGCGTTGAAACCGCATCGTACTTGTCGTTCACGTGTACGAGCTGCCGAAATTTTGTTCGAGGGCGCATTCAAACTTTCTAAATTTTCACTGCTATCGTGCGAACTGTACACAGTTTGGCAAATCGTGATTTCCAACGTGTAGCATAAAACAATTGAATAAAAGCGTGTAAATTTGAGGGTCGAATTTTTTCGTATATACGTTCTACATGTACCTATAATTGTTGCATGCATTTCGGTTCCGTGCTACGCTTCCAATTACCAAAACTCGTTCTTCAACTGCTTCCCGTAACCTCACACAAAAAATATTTTCCACCCTCTGGATCGGTACGATTATCGAACCTATCGCGATTTTCGCTTGTTAACGGCTGTCCCCCTAAATAACGAGAAACCGGTCTACGGTTTTTAATGACGTTACTTCGCGTGCCGTAACGACACTCTCTGCTCAAGAAATAGCCGTCGAGATCGAGTAATTGCTTCGTTAGAGTACACCGTGACTTAACGAGTGTCGAGTTAACGAACTGTGTCAAGAATAGACAGGATAGATCGCGCTTAATTAGAAATTTGTCTCTTCCGGTATAAATATCTCTTTTAGAAAGCACTGGTTGTCAAAATATTAATTTTTCTCATTGATCAGATTAGTGGAAAACCATTTGAGTCGGGAAACCGGCAGTCTAAAAGTAGAAATAATTTCTATATAGTGAAGTGACAGGAAGCAACGTGATGGATCATAATTATGATCGATTCTGTGCATATTTAAAAACGGAAAGTGATTCCTAACCGAAGTATTTAAACAGCGAGCTTCGATTCGTTCAAATTATAATTACACTCTTCAAATAGTTCGGATTGCGAGTTAATATTTTATACTGTTGGCTCTTTAAATAAGGAAAACCGATTTCTCGAACACCCGATTTTACGCAGTCAAGTTACATTGAACTCGGGAACGTTGTATTAAGACTATATGTTCTACGGTATAAGCGTTAATCGATTAATCGATCATTCGCTGATGGAGAAATTATTCTGATTAAAGTACCTTTTGTCGTTCCGCGAAGTGAAATATTAAATACAAAAGAGCGGAAACACGGAGGGTGGAAAGAGTTTTAACTACTCGAGAGAGAGAGAGAGAGAGAGAGCGTAGAAACAAAATTATTTAAATCATATCACCGACTGTTATTATTTACAGAAAAATAACATGGGCAAATGAGTATTTGGTTTACTCGAAGAGCAACGTTGCCTCCGATGATTGTCTTCGAAATCGCATGCCAACTCATATATACCTTGATCTCGAGCTAGTGGATAAAGACAAAGCGCGTCGAATGAGAGGGCCGGGACAAGGACGGAGGGCTGTTCAAAGTTTCGCAATTTGAAACCGGAACGGAATATTCCTGTTAGCAGGGTATTGTCGATATTGAAATGAGATTTCTGTATCTACTCATCTCTGTCTCTCTCTCTCTCTCCCTCCCGCTTATTCGCCCGCTAATTCATTCCCTCGCCCTACATTATTCCTTCTATCTCTGTTCATCACCTTGTACATTGTACGTACTTATACGTAACTATTACCTAACGATTTCCTTTACTTTCATTCATTTTGCTTATACATCCAAGACTCGCGTCCTTATTCCTTACTTCTATTTTACTTCCAGCTAATTAATTCTCCTCCCTCGTATTCTACTATTGCATATATTCATTAGGTAACTCATTCTTCCATTTGGCAATCTACTCTCTTATGCGCTAATTCGTTAACTCTCTCGACCTCCTCATCCACTATTCATTTTCTTCGCCCGCCCGGTATTTTTGATCATTTCTATTTCACCGATCCATCAATGTCCCTACTTCTCGTCTCTCACGGCTTTATACGCGTCAACCTCTTTCCATTTCTCCCGTCCCATTTCCCTCTTCCATTACACATCTCAGTACGTATCATCGAATCCCAGGAGACAGAGCGACGACGACGTTACACGAAGACGTTCTCGGGGGATTAACATGAACTGACAGCACGGAACGGGTTATAGAGCACGCCCGTATAACCGTGTCAAATGCATAGCAGGATAGACTGTTCCCATGAATTGGCCGAATTTCAGAATTCTCTCGCATTTCCACCTTCCCGTATTGGTATTATATATCGCGAGTCAATAGGGAATGTAAAATATAGTAAAATAATTATCTCAACAAACAATGAAGGATGTCTGTCTCGATAAATTGAAGTATTTAAGACCAGGTCACGCAAAATCATTTCTCTGCCATTATGCCCGTGCAATTGCGTTTCGAGTTCACGAATGAACAGGCTAAATGAATGTTTGTAATTTACTTTAGAAATATTTCACGGAAATCCTTTCATGCATTTGAATCGACCTAGTAATTGCGATCGATTATTATTTGCGACGGCTGTAATAACTGAAATAATGTACATGTATATAACTAATGTTGATAATACAAGAATAACAGTTGCAGTTTCGCCTAATTGTACCTTCACATAGACCATTTAAGTACTGCGCGTTAATCGTATGTAAGTACGATTAAATCGTCGTAAAATGCGCGCGAACAGGATACGGTTGACACAATGATCGATACGAAGATCCAAAGGAAAGTCCTAGGTTAGCAGTTCCGCGTATCGGGGGTAGAAAGTCGTCCCTGTAGAGTCCCCCGGGTAATGCTCTTTTGTTACGTAAATTGAATCCACTCGTGCGACCCGTTTCTCTCACTGTGCGTCGTGGATCCAGAACTTTCAAGCGAAACACACTTCTCGCTCGAAGAACAAACCCCACAACTCACTCGCTAAATATTGTCTCAACGAAAGGAAAGGAGCAAGTTGAATCGATACATATTATCGAGCTTCGACCGTACCGTTTTCTCGCGACTATTACTATGTGACGCGTAATTTCACGCACGGGAATATTTTCATATAAAAATATAACCTCGATTACTCACCGTTGTGTACATTAGAAGACTCGAAGATGCGGGCTCCTTACATCCAGTCTTTTCATGTTCACGATTATTGTCCAAACCAACCGTGCAAAATTGGAAGAAACATCGCACTATATGGTTCACAATTTTTACTGACACTGTCAAAAATTCGCGACGGTACGAGAATCAAGGAATCGGTGACCTCGCAAACAAGACTGTCTCACGATGCGTAGGTAGCCGTGACGGCGACTAAGCTCTCAAGTTCGACCACGCGACTCGCGCGTACATTCGCGCATCACGATCTGCGCAGTTTGGTGTCATGGACGCGAGAGAGACAGCGGCACGGCTACCAAGTGGCATATTTTTTCAAATATTATTGAGAATCAAAACGTAAACACCTCGGCCAGTTTTTGTCATTATTATTACGTGTTCCATTCAGTGTTGTTAGTATTCCAATGCTGCGCAGTAAGCTCGTCGTGTCCGGCACGGCAAACAGTTTTGACAAATAGTGCGTCGTTCCCGGCTTCGCATCGTCAAATTGCCACGCAATATGTGAGTAGTCTAATAATTCTTCTTCTCTTATATTACATGACTGTTATGGGACATTATTACCGCCGTTTTATTTTACCGTTGTACTATTATAAGAACATTTAGGAGTACAACGTATTTTACTATCATCCTTGGTATGTGTCGCGTGTATGTTACGCAAAACTTATGCTTACCATTGCAATTTAAGAATGTATTGGCTATACAGTCAAGGTTCTATGCATTTTACTTCTAATTCCAGTATTTAACGAGTTAAGTATGATTATTTGGCATTTTATTGACATTGACGAAATCCGACTGTCTCACCGTCGAAATGGTGATCTTTTGGGAAAAAATTTCGTTTTTCCTCAATTACTCCTAAACCGTTAGATTTACGGGAAAATCGCATAGGACCTTTCTTGTAGAGGACGACGAAATCTACAATTTCTATATAAAAACTTTTTGCTAGCATTAATATTTAACGAGTTATTGACGAAAAACAGAAAAACAGTTTTTTGCAAATTACTCATAAACTATTGACGCTAGCGGGAAATTTTTATACAGAAATTGTAGATCTCGTCGTCCTCTACAAAATGGTCCCAACAACATTCCCTTACGTTCATCCGTTTGCGAGTTATTTGCAAAAAACG